TGTCTGTGTGAAGGTTCACAACCTGAGCCAGCACTACAGGAAGAGGCACTCAGCTGCAAAGGGAAGTTCTCCCCCAGCATGAGAAGAGATAAGGATTTAAAAGGAAGAGCAGCAAAGAGAAGGTAAACTACCATGGATTACAGTAAGGCGCACATTACAGTATTGGTTTATGTTAAAAAATCTGAGGGTTTAATGTCACATTAAGTTCGATTAATCAGTTAATCGGATAAAAAAAAAAATACATTTAAAAAGAAGGCTCCAGTGATGGACTACTAGTTTGTATTGAGATTGCAGTCCATCACAGGAGCAAGCTTGGAGCGGTGGAAGTAAAAAAAAAACAGTAAAAAAAGTGTGGTGTGCAATATAGTGAAATGAAAAGTGTAAAATTATACAGCAATGAATGCAGAATGGCAGCGGCTATAGAGGACTACAAATCCCAGCAATAGTACATTATACAGCACAATTTAGAATACCGCCAGCTATAGAGGAATACAACAAATCCCAGCAATAGTACGTTGAAGTTCTCCCCCAGCATGAGAAGAGATAAGGATTTAAAAGGAAGAGCAGCAAAGAGAAGGTAAACTACCATGGATTACAGTAAGGCGCACATTACAGTATTGGTTTATGTTAAAAAATCTGAGGGTTTAATGTCACATTAAGTTCGATTAATCAGTTAATCGGATAAAAAAAAAAATACATTTAAAAAGAAGGCTCCAGTGATGGACTACTAGTTTGTATTGAGATTGCAGTCCATCACAGGAGCAAGCTTGGAGCGGTGGAAGTAAAAAAAAAACAGTAAAAAAAGTGTGGTGTGCAATATAGTGAAATGAAAAGTGTAAAATTATACAGCAATGAATGCAGAATGGCAGCGGCTATAGAGGACTACAAATCCCAGCAATAGTACATTATACAGCACAATTTAGAATACCGCCAGCTATAGAGGAATACAACAAATCCCAGCAATAGTACGTTATAGCTGGCGGTATTCAGCATTGCGCTGTATAATGTACTATTAATGGGTTTTGTAGTCCTCTATAGCTAGTGGTATTCAGCATTGCACCACTGTATAATGTACTATTGCCGGGATTTGTTGTATTCCTCTATAGCTGGTGGTATTCTGCATTGCGGTGTATAATGTATTATTCCTTGATTTGTAGTCCTCTATACAGCGCAGTGCAGAATACCACCAGCTATATAAGAGTACAACAAATCCCAGCAATACATTATACATACAGTGTATAATGTATTGCTGGGATTTGTATTCCTCTACAGCTGATGGTACATTGTGCTGTATAATAATTTACCATCAGCTATAGAGGAATACAAATGCGAGCATGAGGTGGGGAGAAGGTGTGGCACGCAGCGTGTGTGGAGCTGTGAACAGGGCCAACCAGCCGATTAATCGATTGAAAAAGTTGACAACTTTTTCAATAATCGATTATGTCGATTAGTTGTTGCAGCCCTACATAAATATTTAAGGAGAAACTATGTTAATGAATACATTATTTGATCATCTTTTTATAAAAACAATAGTTAATCAAATATGACTGTACAGAAAAACAAGGTTTGTGTCCGAGCAAATTAAACCATTGGTGTCTTTCCCGGTTCCCTGCAGCACATGCTCCGTCTAATTCCTCAGGTCAGGGGGTTGTACAGGTCGGGGGGTTGTGCAGCTGCCATAGACGAGCACATGTCCTGGAATGAAATGCTCAAGCAGGCTCAGCCCTTCCTGGCAAATTTGGTATAATTCAAGCTCGCAGTAGCTAAAAACAGTGCTGCCCTCTCTAAGCCCTACCGGCCATCAGGGGTTAATGTATATTTAATGTATACCACCAAACTAGAAAACTTCAGGGTGTCAGGTTCACACTATAAATACCATCAGTGATTTACTATTCTCTCTATCTGCCCTTAAGACAAATGTATAGCTCATCAAATTTCTCCAAGACAGAAATGTTACAACCTGGGTGGTTTAGGTGACGTACTGCGTAATAAAATGTCACACATATGTACTGCTTTTTCCAGATGTATATTCCCCGGCCGCCTTGGAAAATGGCACTTTATACGTCTCTTAACATATGCTCAAAGGCTAGAAATCAATCTATGGAAATATTTATTATACATTTAAAGCTTCCCTGGCCTTGCCCCCAGTAGCCCCCTAACCTCCGGAGGATCACCCTCAGCATGCATTTTACCTTTTTTTCAATATACGTACCTTTTCCAGGCCAGTCACATGACAGACAGATGGCTTCACCTCTTCTCTTATGGTCTTCAATTATACAGACAGCAGCACTGACATGATTGCGTCTTCACCGCTCTCGGCATCATTGCATCGCACATACAGTACGTGAACTTGCATGATTTTTGTACTGTGATGGGGCAGTAACAGGATGTTAAAAGGAATGAGTAGGCAACCTACAGCCCCCAGATGATTTTTACAGACCCTGCATTGTGGTGAGTACCACTTTAATGGTTCCTGGGCTTAACTGCTGTTTGGAGCCCAAGATCACAGATGGTGGGCACAATACCCGATCCCTACGTCAGTGATAACTCCAGTAGCAGAGGATGAAACCAGCACGTGGTGAAGGACAAAACTCAGGGGAAATATTGAATACCAGAGAGCCCTAGGGAGGCTGCCGCGCTGGAACGGAGGGAGGCAGGAGACACAGGTTTCTGGAAAGGTACATATAGGAGCCCTTTTATTGCAGTGGATTTGCATGACGTTTCTCCTTTTCCTTGTTCGGTGGGCAGAACCGATAAAACTATTTCTGTATATAAAGCAGACTGCAGAATGCTCTCTAGCATTTCTTTGTATTATTATCGCATATCACAAGGGGTGGAGCTGGTAGAAAAGGACGTCATCCTTCAGCACCTAAAGATATCTGATATTGTTCAAAGTGCAGATGGCCAAAAATAATGATCAGCCTAAAGAATCATAAAATATAAGTAGCCGTCTTTCATTTACTTGCAGCCGTTTCTGTGATGATCTCTTGGAAAGCATCTGAACAATCATTCTCTATGGGAGAAATCATTTTTTTTTTTTAATGCCCAATCAAAGTTAAATCTGGATTACTCTGCCCATAGACATGAAATAGGTTAATCCGGAAATGAAGCACCACATATATTCCAGTCCAAAAAATAGGTTTATTGCAAACATAGTTAGTGTATGAAAGGCAATGGGGGGTATTTATCAAAACTTGGGCAGACAAAATCTGGAGCAAATTTGCGCTGCAGCCAAACAGCTTCTCTCTCTCATTTTCATATCATACCTGAGCAAACTGAAGAGTGATGCTGCTTGGTTGCCATGGGCAACTGCTCCAGATTATGTTTGCTCCAGTTTTGATAAATTCCCCCCAATGTCTTTTGCTATCTCTTTCACAAACCAAGGTGATTGTGGAAATGTTTTACTTTATTACAGGTATTTATACAGCGCCGACAATTTACGCAGCGCTTTTACACAGTGCACAGTCACATCAGTCCCTGCCCACAAGGAGCTTACAATCTAAGGTCCCTATCTCACATACATACATACATACATACATACAGGGCCAATTAACCTTCCATCATGGCTTTGGAGTGTGTTGGAGGAAACCGGAAACCCACGCAGGCACGGGAGAACATGCAAACTTCTCGTAGAGAGTGACCGGGATTCAAACCAGGGACCCTCAGTGCTACAAGGCAGAAGTGCTAACCACTACGCCATCCTTCGGTGTGCAGAAACCGCAAGCCTGAAATCCATTTCTCCATAGTCACACCATGGACAACAATAACAATACAAAACTACCATTTAACCAAGCTTCAGGGTTCCAGTGCCACTAACCCATCACAACTCGTATAGAAGAAAAGGAAATGGCCTTCAAAAAATATAAGACAGAGGGGTCACTATCGGCGTTCAAATATTAGGAATGCAACAAAAGAGCAATCAGGGCAACAAAAATAGAGTACGAAGAACACACAGCAACAGACATCAAAAGAAGCCCCAAGAAATTCTTTATATATATAAATAGTAAACGGGTAAGGACAGAACATTTGGCCCCATAAAAGAGGAAAATGGTAAGCTGGCTACCAGTGACAAGGAGAATGCTGATGTGTTAAACACATTCTTTGCTTCTGTCTAGAAAGATCAAATGTAAACAAATCTCCAGAATCAGATGTGTTACATCCACGAGTACTCAAGGAACTTGTAGTGTGTCTCCAGTCTATGTCTCCTGAAGCTTGTGCCCAGTCTTTAACAACTCCTATAGCATCTTCGTACTCTCTGACCATCTCTTGTAGTATGCCAATAGTCTCTGACCAACTCCTGCTGCTTGTCTGTTATCTCTGGCAGCTTTCTATGGCATTACATTCAAAGAGTATTATGTGCGACCCACTGCTATGAAGCCCCTGGTATTAGACACATTGGGGGAGGCATTTAAAAAAATCTCAAAGGCTAAAATCTTAACAACAAGGACAACAGTGACCTGAATTCTTCCCCTGCTACTAGTTTTATAAATGGCCCCGAATTAATCCGTATGCTACTGAGTTGCTTCTGACCTGCTTTAGGCTGCAGTGACCTGCTTCTGCATTCCAATTGTAAAAATGAATATCTACAGAATGCTCAGTGTTGTTATGGAAGAAGTTCTATATTATCGTCTAAAACACGGATCTGTCATACATCTTCAAGAGACATTCTCTAGCAAATTGCAAAGTGAGACGAATGTGACCTCCAGGCAGCTGTGCCCGTTGTCTGGACAGGAATGTCATTTCCATTTTGAGCCAAGAAAACTGGGTGGGTATGAATTCCTCCCTACAACCTGAGCCTGCCTTTAAATGATATAACTCCTAGACATACATTAATAAAAACTACCCGTGACATCAAAATGACATCTTGTGGACGTTCAGCAACGACGATTTCATGCAACTGAAACTTCAGCTGCAGATTGCAATGGAGGCTTAACTGGCCTCTTGTGGCCCGTCACACATTTCATGGCAATCATTTTCAGAATAATTGCTGGCAGTGCCGTCCTGCAGGTGCCGTGAGTTGCGAGGATCTCTGGGACACTGAACTGGTTTACAAGATAAGAGTCTAGCCGCAGATTTGTTGGGACCATATTGCATTATGCAATTTCAGTCTTAGGATGGCGCTCGGTGCCAAAGTCTCCTCCCTCGGCAAGCAGCACACGGGTTTAGTAAACGCTCTGTGATTGGTTTATAAAAATACAGAGCCATACCCGTCCACTGATGTTACTCTGACCTGACCACAGATGGAATATTATGTAATGTGTCAGCAGAGCTCCCGCTGGGTTCTAAACGCCTGCCAGCCCAGCTCCTGCAGGTGGAAGGATGCTACGCCAAATGTAACTTCAATGCAAGCATGAAGAGGCGACCAGTCAGTTTTCTCTGAGCACAATTCAATGAGGGAAGCTGAATCATTGTATAGTCTTCATTCAGCTTGCTGCTGCCACATGGAGGATGAGAGGCGGATGAGAATGGGAGTTTCCAACCTAATGATCCTTTCACAAGATTCGCCCGTGTTACCGTACATTATCACATCTACCAACAGTGAAACACACACCTACTGCTGCATTACCATTGTCAGAGATCAATCTGCACAGAAATAACGAATCTGCAGCTGCTAACCTTTCAGACCTGAACAAGGAAAGTGAAGATTTTCTGTCTCATGGGGAGTATCTGGAACTGTTACCTGTGCCCAAGAAGTATCCTAAAACATTTACATTTTGACTTGATTTCCTCCTGAAAAATAGCGGTGCACGTCCTGTGCCTAGGCACTCCCGATACCAGAGCACTTCCTGTGCCTAGGCACTCCCGATATCAGAGCACGTCCTGTGCCTAGGCACTCCTGATATCAGAGCACGTCCTGTGCCTAGGCACTCCTGATATCAGAGCACTTCCTGTGCCTAGGCACTCCTGATATCAGAGCACGTCCTGTGCCTAGGCACTCCTGATATCAGAGCACTTCCTGATATCAGAGCACGTCCTGTGCCTAGGCACTCCTGATAGAGCACGTCCTGTGCCTAGGCACTCCTGATATCAGAACACGTCCTGTGCCTAGGCACTCCTGATATCAGAGCACTTCCTGTGCCTAGGCACTCCTGATATCAGAGCACTTCCTGTGCCTAGGCACTCCTGATATCAGAGCACTTCCTGTGCCCAGGCACTCCTGATATCAGAGCACTTCCTGTGCCTAGGCACTCCTGATATCAGAGCACTTCCTGTGCCTAGGCACTCCTGATATCAGAGCACTTCCTGTGCCTAGGCACTCCTGATATTAGAGCACGTCCTGTGCCTAGGTACTCCTGTTCTGTATCCTCATAGCTGTATAACTTCAGTATAAGACCATCTAAGACACTCCTGCGTCTGACTGCCAATGTCACCAGATTTGGGGTGAAATTTTGTGATGTCACTACTGTGCTTCTCACGGTTCTCTTTGCTGGAGAGGAGGCTGTATCTGAGGATTACAATGCAAAAGATCTCCCTGCTTCGGGGGGGAGGGCAACTGACATAAGGGAACTCTACTAATATGGCCACCTCCACAGTATCGGCAGCTGCTGATATTTCTCTCCTCCCAGGTCTCTGACACAGTCACCAAAAAAGGAAACATTTTATATTCAGAATGTATTCTGGTTGTTTTGTAAATGTTCGTATACTGCTAAACCAGCCATAGAGACCCGAGCAACTTTCATGTCAGCTAGGAGACTACCCCATAGGAAATTAACTTTGTCAATACTTACAAAATGAGGTTACTGAAGTGATCTATCCATCTATCTGATTATATATATTACACACACATGCTCTGTCAGGATCCAGATCTGAACCTATGCTGTGCCTGGCAGTGGCTCTACCGGCTGAGCCCCCTTGAAACCTCGGATAGCTCCTTGCCTGCTCTCATGTATAATCCTCAAGTAAACTTAGTTTCTGCTGAACTCTGAACTCCTTGCTCCTCCCTTGAACTTCCTATTTAAGCCACGCCCTAGACTTCTTGTTTGTTAGATTATTGTGCTCCTGCCATTATCTTGCTTCCTGCTCCTTCTGTGATACAATCCGCTCATACTGCTACCCGTGTACCGACCTTTGGCTGCTGATTCACCGACTACTCTCATCGTCTTCTGCTTCATACTTGATACGTTCGGCTCCTGACCTCGGCTTGATCTCGCTTCTGCCTGCTCCTATACTACTACCATCTGCTTGTGTACCGAACTCGGCCTGTTATACCACAAATTTGCCTACTCGACTCAGAGCCTGATCTCAGATTGTGACACGCACACATTTTTGGGGAGGTTTAGATTTTTTGACATTTTAATGGAAAACATAATTAAAAAATTATAAATAAAGGAGAACTGCCGTTCATTTTTTGCCTCTACAAGACTGAACAGTGTCCGGTCTCTTACCTTGAGTTGTAGTTCCATATATCTCTTTGACATGCGGATCAGCAACTTCTCATCATTTATCATTGCTGGCTTCTCCTGGTAGTATTGTACCATGGCCTCCGCTGCCTCTCTGTATGCCATTTCCAGGAAGGCCTGCACATAGAGATCCGACATCAGAGACTTATATCTATATCGTAATACCTGGACCATGCAATAAGAGGCAAGGTATAAAGCATTCCATGGCAGCACCTTAAATCCATTCTATCCACCACAGGAAGGTCGTCAGACTGACTGCTACCGGGCCTTTGTCACCCAGTTGGGCGCATATTAAGATAAATTAATTGTCCCTTTATATCTGGCTAGATGCACCACTACCCTTCAATAGTAGGACCTCGCAGAGACATAATTGTTTCTGAAAACCTGCTCCGTGGAACCCTTACTACAGAGCTTGCTAGGAGTTCCTCGAGAGTTGCAAATTCATCTACCACCTACAATGTCCACCAATGTTATGGAGTAATCTTCCAATGTAAGGGGTCACCATTTAATTGACTGTAAAGGGGCTTTTTTCTCCAATCACCACCAATGTAAGGGGGAACTACACTGTCCACCAATGGAAGGGTGCATGCCTGCACTCATTACCAATATAAGGGGACACACTTCTCCTCTGAGCACTAGTGTTTTTGTGTTTCTTTTATGGCAATTATTATTTGTTTATCTTATTAAGATTTTTATTGTCTCATAGAGCGTGTGGGGGGTGGGGGGCTGGTTTGGGTTGTAAAATTATCCAGTCTGGGTTTCAAATACTCTAGTTATACCACATCCGCTATTGTTTTGTTCCAAACTTTCTACAGCTACTGTTCAATGTTTCCTGCAGGAAGACTTTATTAACATTTTGTTATTGTACAGCGGAGAATGTAAAGAAGTGATGTGGAGTAATCTATAGTGACCACTGTTCACCATTTATATTTGTAAGGTACAGCCTAGTCCCATCATGCCCATCTGGGACTACTCCTATTATTCATTTAAACATTAAGATTTTTCTTTTTAAAGTGCAGGTATATCTTTATACAAACAACATAACATGAGTTTCCTCAACCCCATTAGACAGTATATCAAAAATCAGAGCCGATCCCATTGTGCACTGCCCACCTTTCCACAACACCAAGCAATGTTCACATGAGATTTTTGTCCTGGCCTCTGTGATCTACTGTAACTAGATGCCTAGAGAAGAATGGGAGAGCGATGTGACCCTGCTGCATCTGAGGTCTGATTTTTTTTTTTTTTAATGCTAGCTGGGGGAGGGAACCCGTACTGTTTGTTATTTGTTTAATAAAGTATCACTGAATTTGAAAGCAGGAAAAACACACAAGGGACATCGATAGCACCATCATAAGGAAAGAAGAAACAAACATCTACAATTCCAATCTAATTAAAAAACAGCCATCGTTGTATTTCCAGCATTTATTGGGAGCCATTGTTCTTGGTCCTGCTTTCTGCAACATTTTTAATTCATATTTTAATTTATTGAAAAAGTTGTTTGTTTGTTTTTCAACAAAGGCAAAGTGTATCCATAAAAAACATCCCAAAACAAAACAAAGCACATTGAAAAAATAATATAACACCAATCTAAACCAAATCCCTCTGGTTAAAAAAAAACAACTTTTTATTACTTAAAGGAGAACTATGGGGTTAGGGCTTTTCCCCTATAGTTCTCCTTAGGTTAATGGGAGGACACAAACTAGCGTCCTCCCGTCACCCTAAGCTCAGTATATAGGGAGCTACAGCTCGCGGTATACTGAGACGCCGCAGCCCGAAAGGATCCCGACAATTCTGTCTGGATCCACCCAGCTACGTGACTGACCGCTGGTTCTGCCTATCTAGAGGCGGAGCCAGCTGTACTTGCCCCCTCCCCCGTCCGTTCTGCCAGTAAGCGCTGGAGGGTCGGACTGGAGAGGGGGGAATCCAGTCCCTCCCCTGTCACGGCTCTCTGCAGGGATAGATCGAGACGTGAGCGAGCGCCGGTATGTGTTCGCTCACTTCCCGATCTACTGAGCCGATGTGTGACAGTTACATTGTCACAGGTCGGCTCAGATTACGAGGCTGAGTGAAAATCACTCGCCTCATAATTCTCCTTTAAACATTGCAACATTTATACCATGGAATTTACCATTCACTCAGTGACCTACTTGTACATAAAATCACATACAACCCTCCTTGGAGCCATATTACAGATGGGGCAACACATCAGATTTACCTGGTTGGTTGATTTCATTAATATGTAGTTGGTGACCTTCCCGAATGGCAGACCCAGATTAACCACGTCATTCTCGCAGCTTCCTTCAGGGAGATTACAGATGTGAACCACTCTTCCGAGATTAGACTTCCTCTGTGCAAACTGCAATGACATACCGGAGATCCGTTATTTTACTGTTCGTGTCACGACATAGCTGGCACATGAGCACACAGAAGCAACACTAGTGGCCATCCTGGAGTGGGAGAGGAGCACAGAACCTCTCTGAATGGGGGACAGTAGCCAATGCTGCCCAGACCCGGGGCTCCCAGACCTTGCTGCTACACGTACAGTATCTGTTCATCCCGATGACCCTTTTTATTTATATCTGCTATGACTTTACATCCATTATGACTCTTTTCCCTTCAAAGGCACCTCATGTGTGCACAGAACACTGAACTATATTCAGCTACATATTATTTTATATTTTAGGCAGCACCTTGTCTGCTAGAAGTTCAGGTATCTCTAGACGTCAGATGAGAGTTGGCCAATCTGTCCATTTCCAGCAGGAAGGCAAAATATACACCACAGGTTCTGCTTGTGCAATGCCAGTGACTGAGCAGAGAGGAGCAATGCACTGTGAAAGGCCATTGCTGCAAATTCTATTTACTGCGTGTCACATAGTATTTTTATATTAAACTCGTTGCTACACCATGATTTCCCACAGCTAAAAATATCTGTCCCCATCATACAGTGAGCATTCCGGAATTATGCCGCGATAATTTTCTGCTCTCGGATAAACTCGCTGTGAGCGTCTCTGTGCATTTGTCTCTCCATTCAGCCTGAGCACTGGCCGAGGGGACATAATGCTGGATGGCTGACAAGATATTTCTGAGCTCCCCGCCACAGTTTTCCTGGAGCGATCAGTGTAAAAGAGATCACAGGATGATCTTCGGGATTACTGTGCGAGGACAAACACTTCTGTCTGGAAAACTCATCTGCAGACGGTTTTACTCCTGTCACTGGACTACAATTCAGTCACTTAGGACGACTATAAACCACGCAATCTCGCCCCTGATGTGAAGGGCCGATGCAATAACGTGGTGATTGCACCAACATTGGCTGCTAATGACCATTCCGGGTCACCATCCCCTTCTTGTTCCCTGGAACACATCATGCATATCTATGGTCACCCTGATTTATCAGATGTGAGGAATTAAAGGAATAATAGTATTGGTTTTCTTAAATCATTTATTAATGTTTAAATAACTAAATAAAAAAAGTCTCCATCTGAAGAGACCAATAGTGGAAGAAAAAACATATTTCTTAAAGAATAAACACAAGATAAGGCAATGAAGAAAGAGTGATAGAAGAAAGATCGGCAACTCTATAAGGGTGCAGTAAAACAGACAAGTTTGGGCAACGTGCAGCTTAGACCCCCTGCTACCTTGGCAATGCTTTAAAATGACGCTCAGTGCTGCCCCCTCTGTCTACAGTCAACCACAGCGATTTGTCAAGCTGCTCCGTAGCCAAATGCTATGAGATGCAAAGTGCCAAGTATTTTATTGAAGAGGAGAAGTATTCGTACCTGTGTGCTCACAATCTTCTTGACAATGTACACTGAGCTGTGCGCATGTGCGGCTCAGTGTACAATTTCGGTATCAGCCGGGTGACTTGATGAATGGACTTCCATGCTCCTGCATGGCAGTTGCATCATCCTGGCGTGGCCCATCAAGATGACAGAAGATCCCGAACCCAAAAGAAGACCAGGCAAAGATAACAACACTGGCGAGGGAGCTCACAGATGGCACCTCGCTTCAGCAGATGTGAGTATAGTTCCACTTTAGGAGATCTGTCGTAAGGGACGGCCTCACAATCTGTCTGCTACAACAAAGTGAAAAGACTTTAGCTGCTGTGAATCATATTTAGGGCTCTGTGTCCGTAAAAATATGCAATCACCCTTCTAATAAGATTGATAAATTATATCCATCAAATTCAAGCTTTCACAATTCCAAATGGTTTGTCCATTTTGTTTGAGCTGCCAGTAAAATGTATTTCTTGTTGGTAATCCGGGTGATCATGCCGTCACTTCAGCTGGTACTTTGGCTGTAAAGACCACAATTAATTCACCTTTTTCTTTTTTTAAAGGAGATTTCACATCCCACCCAGAGACAGAATAAGGCAAAGTGGGGCCCTAGGCAAAGCAGCAGCTTTCCTCCCGTTCCCCTCAGAGCCTCTTTGACATTAAAAAGGATTGCAAAGGGCACAGAGAAGCCACCTCATTTTCACTGTCTGTACAGGGTATGAGCCCATCAGGCACCAATTGCCTACAAGTGGACATGCAGATGCACAACTCTGACCAACTGCAACTTCCTCTTGGTTTATTGCAGAAATCTGACGGTTGTAGCTGGGCGCCCTGGACTTCCACTAGGCTTCTGCGTAGGTTGCCTTGTGGTTAATTTGGCCCTGATCCTACGTGCCAATGAATTAGCCATGTGGTCTCTTGTAGGAGAAACTGGGAGACTGAAGGAGTTCACATGCAGTGTGTCATGTTTTTTTTTCTTCTGGCACATCAACTTGCGAGAGCTCGCATAGCTGAGAATGCCGAGATGAAAAATGTAATCTTCAGCTGAATGGCTCGTGTGTGTAAACCCATGTGTCACGATGCAAACTCCATCCCGTTGTTCCGCGCAAGCTGATTGCCTGAAGATGCAGTCATTCATTTGACTGCATGCGAAGTTCCGTGCCTGACAGCTTTGCTGCGCACTGCGTCGCATGCAGTGTGTCACGGAATTCAGAGTCGGCACAGTGGGCCAATCAGTAGCTGTGCTAGGAAAGTCTTGCAATGTGTCAGAATCGGGATCTGAACCCAGGTCCTCTGTTGTGTCTGGCGATGGCTCTACCTGCTGAGCCACCTTAGAACCTTGGATAGCTCCTTGCCTTATCTCCTGTGGTGTAATCCTCAGGTAAACCTAGTTTCTGCTGAACTCCTTGCTCCTCCCTTGAACTTCCTATTTTAGCCATGCCTCTACACTTCCTGTTTGCGAGATTATTGTGCTCCTGCTATTATCTTGCTTCCTTGCTCCTCCTGTGATACAATCCTATCATACTGCTACCCGTGTACCGACCTTTGGCTGCTGATTCACCGACTACTCTCATGGTCTTCCACTTCATACCTGATACCTTTGGCTACTGACCTCGGCTTGATCTCTGACTACACGTCTGCCTTCTCCTATACTACTACCATCTGCTTGTGTACCGAACCCGTCCTGTTTGACCACGACTTTGCCTACTCGACTCCGAGCCTGATCCAGATCATGACACAACGCTTGTCCTCCCAAATTGTCAGAGACCGCATAACCAGATAGGACCAGGCACTGGGGGAGCAGAGTTGCATCAAAATAATAAAACAAAAGGTGAATATGTGCTGATTTTATTTACAGTATGTAGCAAATACATGAATAAATACATGAATAAATACATGAATAAATGTGCCTCCACTTTTGGCTTTGCCTGTTTGGGTATACAGTAGGTTTGCTAGTAAAGCATGATAGAAGCAGTGAAGACATTAAGGCGGGAACAAAAATGAACAGAGTTCTGTAATGTCAGTGCAAACAATATTCGGGGGGGGAAAGCATCTCCTAAGTGATATTGTCTACATTCTCTCATGTGCAAGACTATGCACACAACTACCTTCTACAGCCTCATGGAGATAAATCACACCAAGATTTCTGGTTCCTCCCTCTCTGTCTGGATCATTGCCTACCAGATCCAGACACTGCTAGTTTAGGAAGTCTGCTTGTCAATTGTTCATACCTGCCCAGGACATGTATTGATCTTGCTGAAGTAAGATTTCTGGTTCCTCCCTGACAGATGATGATGCCGTGGTATTGTCTGACTGGATCCTGATCAGATAACCCACCAGTTGGGATGTCCAGCATTGTAGAGACACCCGAATCATCCAGATCTCCTCAATGTTGATCAGGAGATGGGATTATTTTGGCGTCCAAGTTCCCTGCACTGACAAGGTGTCTAGGACCCCACCCTAGCCTGACTGGCTGGCATCCATTGAGGGAATCCTCCAAGAGATAGGAAGGAAGGCTTTTGCCAACTCATGAGCTGAATTTGTGAGCCATCAGGCCATAGACAATCTGGTCCTCCGTGACAGGGAATCGCTTTCTCCAGAACCTGAACTGATTTGTCCTTCGATGACAGGATGTCAAGTTGTAGGAGTCTGGAGTTTAAGTGGGCAAACAGGACTGCCTTACCATCAGCACTATGGCTCTCATGCAAAAACGACGAGTCAGCCAACTTGTGGGCAGAAGAGTCCGAGAGCGGAGAATAAGGCCCAGATACTCCAAGAAATGAGTCACCTCAGACGCTGATTTCTGAACATTCGGGATCCAACAAAACCCTTTTGGGGTTTGAACTGTCCGCATAACATTGTCATCAAGACTTGTGCTGACTGCTTCTTCAACAGGAGGTCACCCAGATATCCCACAATCGGAAATACACTGAGAGCATAACAAGGCAAGCAGAGGGGTAATCTTGGTGAAAACACACAGGGGGCAAAGAAAGGCCGAATAGTAGGACCAGAAATGTTGCCCAGCAAGTGTTGGGACACACAGCAAAGCAAAGGAATTACTGATATGCTAGAAAAATGGGGACATCCAAGTACACATCTTCGATGTCTTCAGAGCCTAGAAAGTCTCCCTGATGGATGGAGGCCATGACAGACCTGATAGATTCCAGCTACATAGTCAGGTTGAAAAGAGACACAAGTCCATTGAGTTCAACCTATAGAGTTATACAGAAGTTCCATGCAGAATTGTTGGGTCCAAATTGAGAGCAAAAAACTGAGGCATGCTGGGAGTGGGCTATACCAGTCTGGTCACTGTTTTTTATTTTGCCAGTGTTCAAATTCCCCTGTAGGCAGCAGTATAACCAACATGTCTCTGAATCCCGTGTCCCTCAATCAACAAGAAATAAATTTGCCTTTAAAAGGTCACATTTTATATCAAGTTTCACAATTACTTGGATTGGAAATAGTCTATTTGATCAATATGTTGTTAATAAAAGAGGTTTTATGTCTCTATCAGTTGCTTGTAGGAGATCCCTGAAGTCTTCTCAGTTGTATTACCTGGTGCACTTTGTTTCCGAGCAACAAGAAGGGAGCGCTGCTACTGCAATATGTATTGAATATAAGTTATGCTAGCTTGTATATAAATGTTTCATACATACTACAGGAAGTTCTCTGGCATCTGGTACACTGAATACATCGGGCAATATTGAGCTCTGATACTGGTCACAAACAGTGTGAATCTCGCTGATTGCACGTGTTGTTCTGTGCAGGTTGTTGTGGTGCTCAGCACATACACTCTAATTACAGTTTGATATATTACAATGGCTGTGAGATATAAGGGGATATCCCAGACACCTCGCTGCACTCATTAGTGCTGACAGGTATCCTGACATCTGTGCAAACATTCAGAACCTCCCCCGGAGTGAACTTTAAATGGTCTTAGCACCGGGCTTAGAGGAAAGCAGGAGCTCCGCCACTGTCTTGGCTGAAATAGTAACATCCAAACTTTTTATTAGACATAGACTGCTGCCGGTGTACGCTGCTCATTTACTGAAATACTTGTTGTAGCGGAAAGTACATCAAGCAAGGCCGCTGGGTTATATTTGTCAGCGAGCCCGGCACAGATCAGTCACATGCCCTGTCCGGTTTTTGAAGTCAGCGCTACTGTGGAATTACTATGTATGACCTCCCGAGCAAAACAGGCAAAGGTCCATTTTATAGTATAGGGCCCAGAGAGGGGTGTATCCTCCTCACCCCAACCACTGACATCAGTAGGGTACAACTCGCATTCAGCTTTTATACATGTATACCCAAGGAGGCACCAGGGGGGGTGCCAATAGGAAGTAGACTCTGTTGATATCACCCTCAAGAAAAGAAGTATATGTGACCATGAAATGTGCTTTAGTAATTGTATCCAGAAAGCTTCTGTAAGGATATGTAAAATATATACACTACAGAACACCTCCCCCTTATGTTATGGAGATAAGAACAAGGCAGATGTTCTGTATTCCAGCAGGGGAGAAGTCAGCAGGGCTGACAACACTGCTTTGGATTTCAGTGCAGTAGAGGCTCTGTGCTATCAGCTCAACATAGAATTTATCAACAGAGTTCAGAAAGAAGGTCGAATGCATTCAGTCAATGAGCATCTAAAATGAACTTTACAAAACACATTACATGAAAGTCGCTCAATCTATCCATCTTTCTATCTATCCATCCTTCTACATCCATCTATCCTTCTACAGCCATCTATCCATCTATCCATCCTTCTACATCCATCTATCCTTCTACAGCCATCTATCTATCCATCCTTCTACATCTATCTATCTATCTATCTACATCCATCTATCTATCTATCTACATCCATCTATCCTTCTACATCCATCTATCTATCCATCCTTCTACATCTATCTATCCATCCATCCTTCTACATCTATCTATCCTATCTATCTATCTATCTATCTATCTATCTATCTATCTATCTATCCATCCTTCTACATCTATCTATATATCCATCCTTCTACATCTATCTATCTATCTATCTATCTATCTATCTATCTATCTATCTATCTATCCATCCTTCTACATCTATCTATCCATCCTTCTACATCTATCTATATATCCATCCTTCTACATCTATCTATCTATCTATCCATCTATTATCTATTTCTCTATCTCTATCTCTCTACCAAATCACGTTCATCGTAGTAGAAGTCTAAGCTCACAGATCCAAGCTGTCAGTCTGGTGTGTTTTTCTTAAACTGCAATTGAGCATTTATTGTCCGTGAATCTATAAAACTCTCACTAGAAGCATTCGTCAATACGCGTGTGATTTACATCTATCTATCCTATCTATCTATCTATCTATCTATCTATCTATCTATCTATCCATCTATCCATCCTTCTACATCTATCTATATATCCATCCTTCTACATCTATCTATCTATCTATCTATCTATCTATCCATCCTTCTACATCTATCTATCCATCCTTCTACATCTATCTATATATCCATCCTTCTACATCTATCTATCTATCTATCCATCTATTATCTATTTCTCTATCTCTATCTCTCTACCAAATCACGTTCATCGTAGTAGAAGTCTAAGCTCACAGATCCAAGCTGTCAGTCTGGTGTGTTTTTCTTAAACTGCAATTGAGCATTTATTGTCCGTGAATCTATAAAACTCTCACTAGAAGCATTCGTCAATACGCGTGTGATTGTGTTCCATCAGCACAGCAAATCTCAGCCTCCATTCTGAAGTATTGACTTCTTCCATTCATTACCAGCATCTGCAGCTGGTGTTTATTTTATTTGGACATTCCAGAGTTTTATTGAATCCCTCTGATGGTTGTGCCCTGCAGTCCCTCCACATGGTGGTAACACTGTATCTGTGGAAGGTATGAAGCAGCCACTCCTGGAACAGCTGGAGTGGCCAATGCTGAGGAACATCTGTTATCCAGGGTAAACCAAACCCGCATTTCTCAAACATATGTGGAAGACTGAGAACGGGCAACAACCATCTGGAGAATGGAATTGGAGTAATTACCTTGGCACCCATGGGTGGTCCGGGAAAGGTGACTGCAGACGGGATGAATGGAATCGCTGTTGTCGGAGTGACGTACACCTGATCAATATCCGCTGTAAAACCTGAAGAGGAACCAACGTACAGAGATTTTCATTGTAGGAAACACACAAATAGCAGAAAAAAGGTCTAAAGCAAAAATATGTTTATAGATTTATAACAAATGGAGTAACAATAAAATAATTCCATTTTTGTGTATTTCAGCAAATGATTTGAAGGAGATCTATGAGGCGAGGGAAAATCACTCAGCCTCATAGTTCGAGCCGACATGTGACAATTAAACTGTCACAGGTCGGCTCAATAGATCGGGAAGTGAGCGAACACATATAAAGTAGCTTGCTCACTTCTCCATCATCTCCCTGCAGAGAGCCGTGACGGTCACTCACGGCTCCCTGCAGGAATTCCCCCCCCTCCCCGATCCTCCAGCGCTAATTGGCGGAACGGACGGGGAGGGGGCGGGTACAGCTGGCTCTGCCTCTAGATAGGCAGAGCCAGCTGTCACTCACGCAGCTGGGTGGATCTCGACAGTAAAGTCGGGATCCGTTCCGGCTGCTGCGTCTCAGTATATAATGAGCTGTAGCTCGCGGTTTACTGAGCATTGGGTGACGGGAGGACGCTAGTTTGTGTCCTCCCGTTACCCTTAGGAGAACTATGGGGAAAAGCCTTGAGCCCATAGTTCTCCTTTAAATCTGAAGAATTGCATTGAATTCAGGCGCCTCCACCAGCAAGGATTTACAGGAATGCATTGTAGTGTTATATCAGATTTACTTTAATGTAATAAAAAATGACCTTGAAGTGAGCCCCTGCTTTGGCCATGTAGTGATAAACAACAGGTAAACTTTAATGGCATCCACACAGCAACACATATCCACCTTCCCATTGCTCCCCCATGGCTGTGTTCAACCGTAGGGATCAAAGAAAACTACTGCCAGGTATAGGGGAGCATGTGACTCTCTTCCCTTCCTCCCATTTGATATAGCTGATGTTTCTGTATTGGCAGCACAGTTCCCCTGTCCTGTCCTATGAGTGCGGGGAAAGGGTGCCAACCCTGTGTAAGCTCCAGGTTGCAACTTGAAGCTTTCACAGGTCTAACTTTCCTTCTCTTCCCGGAGCTGAACAGAGCCCCCGGAGAGTGAAGGGAAGGAAACTGTATTCAGCCGATAGGACCGCCATTAAATCAAATATGTTTTACTTTAAAGTGTACATTGTATTAATAACTCGAAATATGCGCTCAATGAAAAGACTCTTCTTTGCTTCTACACTTTGCCTTATCCCTTCCGATATTTCTGACATGTACAAAACAAAGAGAGCGCCTCCATCTCTTTGTTTTGTATTCTAGTTCTGTGGTTGCCCTAAACCAGCGGGAGCTGCCTCGAGAGTGCATCACTTTGATTTTGATTTTATACATAGTTACGGTGCTGGCGCTTATGGTGTGTACTTCTCTGACATGTGAACAAACTCCCGGCTGCCGGCTTACCAGTAGAGGAGATATAAATGGGAGATCAGTGAATATTTCTTCTCTGATGGCCCACGTGTAGTGTGAACCTGGAAGCACTTAGCTTTGAGCTGTTCCGGCTTCAAAGCTGTTGGAACAAAGTCTCAATATGTATATTATCAACCGATGGAACGATCAGCCTCACTATGAACAGGTTTTCCACCCACAATGACAGTACAATGTATCCTTCAGCTGGGTTTTATATGTTTTATATGCATTTAACTGAATGCTAAAATTATATTCCAGGACAATGAATATAAACTGAAATAGGTATATAAAAAGGCAATGTATATAGCAAAGGTTCAGGAGGCTGTATACAGATACAAATGTAATTCATTTGAAGGTAGAAAAGCGCTACAACTATAAGAACCTCCAACAGATCCGGATCATCTGCAGTATCATGTCCGAGCTATACTTTCAGACAGCTTTATAATCTAACGAGTTAACGAGACAGTTATTGGAAATACTTGATGTTGAATTGCTCTGGAGAGTTGGACTTGGAGAGTAAATGTTTGATAAGGGTTATTAGCACTGGCATGTGTGACCCCCAGGATTTGCTGGCACTCATGTCCAACACTCAAGGGCACGTCAGTCTCTGAGCCAAATGTGAAGCTACTGACGCAATCCATTCTATAATCTACTTCCAGGAGAAGAGGGTCTCTCACCTTCATTGTTCCGGGCGTGGAAGTCAGAATTCATAGGCGAGTTGCTGGAATTGGGCACGCAGTTTATCCCAACGCTGAAAGCAAAGCAGGAAATGTCAGTGAATTTTGTGCTTAGACCCCCGAACACGACCTGGAGGAAATTCACACTCACCTCTCAGAGTAAGCCATTACATTCTGAATGTGCATCCGGCCCTTGATGTGCAGCTCCCAGTCCTGGAGAAAGAAAACAAAGTTCATTTACATGACAATACAGCAAACACTCAGTAACAAATGTCGTCTAATTAGACATTTAGAATGATATTAAAGTCCTAAAGTGACCCATATGAACAGCACAAAGATATGTAAACCGCTTCTATGCCTGTGAGGATGTCTATCTACAACTGTAAATACATATCATACAGCAGGTGGGAGACAACTATCCGTATGGAATGGTACTCTGGGCTCAGAGTTTGTCTTTTTTTTTGCTATTTGTTTTCTAATAATTTTTTCTTTAAAGGAGAACTATGGGGTCAGTGTTTTTCCCCATAGTTCTCCTTAGGGTAACGGGAGGACACAAACTAGCGTCCTCCCGTCACCCTAAGCTCAGTATACCGCGAGCTACAGCTCCCTATATACTGAGACGCCGCAGCCGGAGCGGATCCCGACATAGACGTCGAGACCCGCCCAGCTGCGTGAGTGACAGCTGGCTCTGCCTATCTAGAGGCGGAGCCAGCTGTACCCTCCCCCGTCCGTTCCGCCAGTCAGCGCTGGCAGATCGGAGCGGGGAGAGGGGAATCCAGCCCCTCCCCCTGTCATGGCAGAGAGACGTGACAGGATCGAGAGGTGAGCGAACGCCGGTATGTGTTCGCTCACCTCCCGATCTACTGAGCCGACCTGTGACAGTCTCATTGTCACAGGTCGGCTAGAACTATGAGGTGAGTGGAAATCACTCATGTCATAGTTCTCCTTTAATGTGAACAAATAAAAATACAGACAGTTTGATCTTACGCTACTGGAAACAGATTGTACGGCTACATCAAAATAGACACATTAACATGTATGGAAAAGAAAGAAATCGAGGCATTCAGTACATTTAGGGTCCTTCTCCCATGTGAAAACTCTGCACTAAAGTTAGTCAATATACTTACTTAGCACTGGGTTATATCTGCAATCATTTCACATCACATATGCTTATAAATACTGATCCAAAGAATTTGATATGGTATAACCAAAATGTGTTTTGCACAACTTAAGCAATAAATAAATATAGTTTCACAGCTACTGACCATTTAGCCAGGTATTTCAAAATATGTATAGGCCAATAAAGTTTTTAAAAAACACAGAGGACGAGGCCTGCAATTACAACTACTTCTGTATCCCTCCAGAAGTGGAACTTTGTCTCCTCCTGGTCAGGTTGGGGGGGTGTTCTTGTCATAATCTGCAAGTATAGATAGCACATCATGGCATAATTATCTTCTAGTATGGTCTCTGCTCCATCGTCGCTGCTGCCACCTTCTCCGGGCACTTCTTCTGGGTATGGCATATGTTGTCTTTGCCCATAGGGCATCAGTTGACAATGTAACACCTCTGCTTGCATAATGGATTGACCTGGCACTGGGATCTATTCTCTGCATGTTGAAAATGAGCCGGGAATGTATATCGCACTATGCATGTACCACAAGCAGAGCACACACACAAAAAAGATGACAAGAGCAAGGGGATAGAGGTTGGCAGAAGAGACTTGCGTTGTCTCTGTTGCCGTGAAACTCTCCCTCGGAGCGATTGTTTATTTAGTTTATTTTCCTCCTCTTTATGCGACAGAATCAATAGAATATGTGCAATAGTTTGAAAAGACACATGAACATCACTAAGGAATCACAAGAGGGAACTAAAGTGTCAAATAAACTTTTGCAAAGTGCATTAATCTGACTGTTTTGCCCTTTTACATTATAAGAACCTTCAGATTGAAATGCAGACACAGAGCAGAAGAATGTACACCGGACCCCGTCTGTGCTCACCTGCCAGCAGCCGCTACACTCCACTTCCCTGGGCTACCTATTAGCCGTTCAGCGGAATTTACAGGAATGGAGCCAAGTTGATAAAGTGACATGGACCCTTGTGATCCCTACGAGGCATCCTGATTACATGAGGACTAATGAGGCATGCCTGAGAGGTGCCAAGTTCAGGTTAGACCAGGGTCAGACTGACATTGGCCATTTCATACAGCAGTTGCTTCTGAATGTCAACACCGCTGGATTATGTCAACGATACTTTTAAATCTGACATATCTCCCCTGGCAGAGAGCCGAGGGAGTATCTGTGTGTAGAGTCCTGCACGCTATATCACTACTACAGCACTCACCACACTGGAATCCTGCTTATAAGAATGGGGAAACTGGGGCCACACCCACTTCCAGTAAAGGCCCACCAGTCACTGAAGGTTGTTTATAGGAAATCATTTCATAGTTACTTCAACAAAGATGCTGATTCTGGAAGTTTAAATACAAAATCTTCATGTTTGACCAGAGACTGCCTCCCCAGGTGAAATATCATATTTTAGTTTTTATTTCCAGTGAACTTCGGCAGAGAATTAAGTCTGAATAGCTATTCTCCAATAGCTGACTGCAAGATTGACTGAAGCATAGATCGCTCTACGTTTATGGCTCATCGCACCGGGTGCACTGAGCTGCATTGATCAACATAAGACCAATGTAGGGACACACAGAAAACAATTGCTGTCTTTGTGCCCTGTTCACGCCATAAATGTGCGTAGATGTTGTGACGACATGGTGATCAGTTTATGTGTATTGGTTAAGTTAAATGTGTATTGGTATTGAGTTATGTTTGAGTGCGTTATGCTGTGTGACCTGGTTATGGAAAGACTATCAGCACCATCCCTCGTTATCTCCCATTGTACTCTGAGGGAGCTCAGAACAATGACATTCTGGCCAGGCTCCTGCTATGGCTGTCTGGAGTTCGTTAGCAGGTGGACACCTGTGGTGTTGAGCAGACCGATGGTCTGGGAGGAGGGGAGGTGGATGTGATGGGATTATATTCTGATTTCATCACTTGCTGTATAAAAGTTTGTGCAGTTGCTCAATAAAGCAGAGTTTGTTTCACCTACACTGAGCCTTGGCTAGTGACTGGGGAAACTGGGAGCTAAGGATCTTCAGGTTCCAAGATCTCCTCAGCAAGGAAGAAGACAGCGGCGGACATACTCATCCTGGGTACGGGGGTCCGTCACAGATGTGTTAAAAAACAGCGTGTTGTACATAGGGATGAATAAAGTGTCATTGTGGGACATTTCCATTTAAAAAAAATAAATGTAAACACTGCAATGTGTTGTAACAATGTCACACCACTCCTACACAATGCACACCGACACACGCATGTTATACAGACCGTAATGTGCAGCCGCTCTTAAAGATTAGAAACATACAGAAAGAAAACAGTGACATACTGCAATGTGTGCAGACAATAGAGGGACCTTATAAAACCTGGAGCAGACAAAATCTGGAGCGGATGTGCATGGCAACCAATCAGCTTCTAGCTTTCATTTTTAAAGCTTAACTGAACAAAATTAAGAGAGAAGCTGATTGGTTACTATAGGCAACTGCTCCCCATTCTGTCTAATCCAGTTTTCATAAATTCCCCCCACTGAATGTAACACATTTGGTTTGCTGTGGAACATACACCAACTAAGCTGTGGTGTGTCTGACAAAAATTGGATTTTTTTTCTGGTTGATTTACCATTTTTAATTGTGCATACCATGTAGAAATAAGACATTGTCTGCTTGTTCCTTTCCTCCTCCACCATGGTAAAATGCTGCAAAACAATAAAATAAAACTTATAGGGAACCTTTGTCCCTTCTTTCATACTGCAGGAGATCTAAGAAGATCCCGGGGAATGCTGAATGCAGAAGCTGGGGGGACAATACTATGGGGGGCCATGGCTTTCATACTGCAGGAGTTGATGTCATGTTCCTGCTAAGAAGATCCCAGTGAATGCAGAAGCTGGGGGGACAATACTATGGGGGGCCACAGCTTTCATACTGCAGGAGTTGTCATGTTCCTTCTAAGAAGATCCCAGTGAATGCAGAAGCTGGGGAAAGTTACTATGGGGGGCCACGGCTTTCATACTGCAGGAGTTGTCATGTTCCTTCTAAAAAGATCCCAGTGAATGCAGAACCTGGGGGGACAATACTATGGGGGGCCACGGCTTTCATACTGCAGGAGTTGTCATGTTCCTTCTAAGAAGATCCCAGTGAATGCAGAAGCTGGGGAAAGTTACTATGGGGGGCTGCGGCTTCCGTACTGCAGGAGGTGATGTTACGTTCCTTCTAAGAAGATCCCGGGGGATGTTGAATAACCCAAATCTCTCAAGAGGACACACAGCACAGAGTAAAATTGTGTTCTTGCAAGATTTAGGTCTTATATTTGAGCAATTCCCAAAAATGGTACTAGGTCTTCATTTCGGGGTAAGTCTTATTTTCGGGGAAACAGGGTACTATAGTTATGTATCCCTGCGCCAAATATCTCCGCTTATCCAGATTGTAAATAAAAGATCATTTCAGACTAATCGTTGCAAATCTCAGCCGAGCTGCTTGCCAAGGATGATACAAAAACAACAAGCAATAGATTTGTTGACTTGTGACACAATAAGCTGCATCTGCCGAGCCATTCTGGTACCAAACCCATCAGGCCAATTGTCTGTTACATCAATATGCTGATATAGGAGAGTCCAGACAAAACCTTTTATTCATATTTTTGAATATTTATTTCTGTGTCCCCATATGAGGAAGATTTCCCTTACAGCTGATTATAAGGAAAGCAGACTATCCCAATGGCAGCGCTAAAAACCTAATTGTGGTGTTGTCTCTTCCCAACCTCGGGAGCCAGTGCTGACGGGCATTTGTTTGCTTCGGATGGCATTCTGCATTCCCATACAAGTCTATTTGTGAAGCCAGCTTGAAGCAGGTCAGAAGAAGTTGAACTTAATGCACCTGTCACTGAACTCTGAATGAGCTCAGAAGTATCTCAAGCTGTTAAACACACAGGCTCTATAAAAAGTTGATTCCCCCCTCCAGACAGAAATATATTGTCCTTGCAGTGGAGGTCCCCCTGTCCCCCGACATCAAGGGTTAAATGCTTATTAAGTCTCGGGGCAGAGAGATTAGTTTTTCCTTGCTCCTTGTTTCAGCAGGCTTCCATCAACGCTGTGTGATCGGTCCCTCGAAGCCTCATCGGCGCTGTGGTTGGGGGGGTCTCATCAGGTACGGCACCTGGGAGAAGAACAGCACAACATCACGCTTCACGAGCAGGGTACCATAACACTTCACCTGCTAGTGCTTGTTGCTGCTGTTCATCACTTGGTTCCTGTGGTGTGCTCCTTTGACGCGACCCTCCTGCGTGGTAGCCTATGCATGACAAAACCATCTTCTTTCCGAACCCGAATTGAATCAAACAATTATTTCCCTATCCATTTTCTATACTTCCTCTGCCTCAGATTGGCTGCTCGAGGAATTCCAAACACCATACCTATTCTTCTCGCTCCCCCGAAGAAGCCCCGTTGGGCGAAACATGTTGGGATATATAATATCATATATGTAGTCTTTGGAAATCAATCGTGTGACTCAGAATTGTGCGGCATCGCTACCATGTGGTGAATGTATCAATATATGTTTTATTCCATTATTTTAATCATGTCAATGATGATGTACTAAATAAATGTTTTTCTAAATTTTATATGGTGAGGTCTGGAATGTTTCTTTAAAGCCCCCTTTCCCTACGGGCATTTGCACATCCCATAGTGGAAATATTTTCTCTTTCTTCGCTGCACTATATTGGGGTGTGAAACTTCCATTTCCTCTACGTCCATTTGCAATACATGCCCACTAATGTTGACCTTATTTTTATTAGTGGTTTATCAGCCTGGGGAAAAAACAACTTTCCTCAAGGTGGAGTATTTGTTTTTGTTTTTTTTACAATTATTAATAATTTGCAAATTTTTGTTCTTTTTTAACACTTGGCTAGTTCTCTTTCTTTTGACAATATGTCTCAGCTTTTGTTACACTTCAACAATTCAGATGTTAGGTGCTTCTGAACAGCACGCGCTCCTATTAGTAAACAGTCATTTATCCTGAGCCGGTTACCTCTAAATAAAAACAAAAATCTACAACTCTGTAAGGGTCGGAGTTCCCCAGCAGAAATGTGACACAAACATATTGCTGACAGGTTACATGTAAGAGAGCGTGACACGCTCAACTGCCAGATATAGGTGTTGTCAGCTGATACTGTGACAAGGAACACATGATGTCACTCAGAAGTGGACAGACGGCCTTCACAGAGCCTCCACCGGCCTTCACAGAGCCTCCACTGAGGCTGCAAACACCTGGACCCAGGGAGCAGCTTTATAAACTTCCCAGCTATTTACAGGGCATGCCAGAAGTATCACCCGAGGAGCTTTTTCAGGCTCCAGCAACTAGAACAACCTTAACAGCCAGTAATATGTGACTTTTATGGGATGCAGAGTACAGAAATGTCCTTAGTGACACCTGTAAAAAATAAATCAAGGCATTGCTGCATTTTTTTTTAAAGACGCTTCGCTGGTCAGCCGACAAACTGAGGAAGCCGGTTGGATGACAGCTGCAACAAAACACAGCAAGTCCGGTTGTCTTGATTTGCAGATATACTATGACCTGGATGAACCTTCATAGACATGTCCTTAGTGATGACCATTCCACTTCCAGATGGCTCTCGGTACGCAGATTCTACATGGCAGATATATTCAGATAAATATATCATAAAACAATAACAACTTCCTTTTACACCAACGATTGCTGATCCCAACATAGCCGTGTGCAAAATATTCAGTGATGTGTCTGTTTACCTTCAACTCAGAGAAACGCATAAATGTATTTGCTGAGAGACATTGTGACAAAGCAATAGTCCCTATGGACCTATAAGGGGTCCCAACACTGATACACACAGACGTAAGGGGTCCCAACACTGAGACACACAGACGTAAGGGGTCCCAACACTGAGACACACAGACGTAAGGGGTCCCAACACTGAGACACACAGACGTAAGGGGTCCCAACACTGAGACACACAGACGTAAGGGGTCCCAACACTGAGACACACACACGTAAGGGGTCCCAACAGTAAGACACATAGGCGTAAGGGGTCCCAACACTGAGACACAGAGACGTGACAGGTCCCAACACTGAAACACATAGACTTAGGGGTCCCCAACACTGAGACACACAGACGTAAGGGGTCCCAACACTGAGACACACAGACGTAAGGGGTCCCAACACTGAGACACACAGACGTAAGGGGTCCCAACACTGAGACACACAGACGTAAGGGGTCCCAACACTGAGACACACAGACGTAAGGGGTCCCAACACTGAGACACACAGACGTAAGGGGTCCCAACACTGAGACGCACAGACGTAAGGGGTCCCAACACTGAGACACATAGACGTAAGGGGTCCCAACACTGCGACACACAGACGTAAGGGGTCCCAACACTGAGACACATAGACGTAAGGGGTCCCAACACTGAGACACATACAGCCGACTGACTGAATACTCGCTGCATTTCTGTCTGACAACCTGAATATTTGTAAACGAGAGTGAACAGCGGTGATTACAGGGCATGTATACGGGTCCAAAAGCATAACTTTTATTGTGCTGTAGCTAATGCTTTTTATGGTATTAAGATTTAATATGTATAAAAGATCTTTTTATATATATATTTTATATGGGTTTGTGTGTCGGTTGTACCTTAAAAGTCCTGATTATGTGATATTTGTTTGGGTTTCTTGCATGCTGCAACAGGTAACGTGATTCTGTGGCTAACTTGCAAACCTAAATTTTACATGTATGTATGTACTGTATATATGTATGTATGTAGTATCTAAGGAAAGGATGTTGCACAACCAAAGTGAAAGTCTACACAATGGATTGATTTTCTGCTGCAGTGCAAAGGTAGATAAATACATATGCTAAACAACTCTGCCCTTCATCACGATCACAGATCCTGTAAACATATTAGGCTTTTTTTCCCCCAAAACATTATTTTAATAAAACCCCGCTCCTTTTTATTACAGGCTAATAAATGCACAAAAATAAAAAAAAAGTATGTTTTCAATTTTATATAATACTGTAATTGTATGTGACAGCTACAGTATTGAACATCTGAGCACTATCGCATTAGGGCTGCAGTGTCACTTTGCAGGCTAAAGGCTTATTCTGTTAATGAAGTTTGACTAGTCGGCATGTGATCATTATATCATGGCTGAACCATTCTTGTTTCCAATCATCAGTAGAGACCATAAGTATCAATAATAGCTGGGAGTAAGAGCCACCAGCTGCAGAAAGTGTTGCCTCGTGGCTCTTAAACAGAGGACGCATATTAATGAATCCGCAGCACTGTGCTGGGGGAGGTTAATTTACAGACTGTGAGTGGGAAAGGGTTAAGGAGCAAGTGCAGGGGAGAGAAGCACGTGCACAGGGGTACCACCAGACACTGCATTCCCTGACCACAGGTATCCTCTGCTTGTTGGGGGGGGAGATCCTGTTCGCATATATACTTTATGTTTGACCTGCTGTGTCTGACCCTGCCTTGATATCAGGTCTTTGTCACATGCCTAGAAAATAGTACCCAGCTGTTATCAACCCTCTCCTGATATCTGGTTTACCCCTCCTGCTCACTGAGATGCCAAGTCGTCAGGCCAGCTGAAAGATTAGAACTCGACTATTTGTAGGATTCCCACTTTTCAAAGCAGGCAGAGAAGACCCGTCAGCGTGCATCAGGAGGGGTCTCTCCAATTGGCTATCCCTGCTTGTAACTGCTCCATGGACTATAATATACACCAACAAACAATTGTATAAGACACTGACTCTTTGTGAAACAGAACAAGACAACATATCCACCAATGTGTGTTATATGAGCATACATAAAAAAGATCTGTCCATATGTGAACATAGTACAAACTGTGACCCACCAATCAGAACAGACTAATTCTAATCTAATGTTAAATGTAAAATTCTATCATGTTCAACCTCCATAAGCCATCAAAAGCAATGGACACAACATGTCTAATGTTCCTTAGAACAGCGCCCCAAGTTACCCACCTTTAAATTGAAGACCTTTTTGTTGCACATCGTACAGGTGTGTGGCAGGTGAATGGGAGGGATTCCTTGGAAGTCATTCAATTCCTGTGGCTTCAGATTCTTCAGTGAAGAGACGCAATTTGTGGCTTTTCCATTATTCTGTCTGCTGAAAACTGGGGTACTCGAAGGGCTAAATTTTGTGTCTGAGGTTGGTTCTTCTGGGTTGTACAGCTCGCTTCTGTTGTCATACGGTTGGCCAGATGGTTGCCAGTGGTGAGAGGATTCCCACTGACTGTTTGAGGGCACGTTATGGACCCCCTGGCTGGTGTCTCCTTTATGGCTCACTGGATGATGAGGTACATGTGTGCCAAAATACTGATTCTTAAATCCTGCTGCATTATTGTGTTTAGGAGGATAATGTCCATCAGCTGATTCTTCCTGCCCACAAGAGAAGCCGTGATACTCAGACTGTTCCGTCTCTGATCCATATGGTTGAGAACCTGTGTGGAATCCCTCTAGTTTATTTCCACTCATGACTTTGCCAAAGTGTGGCATAGAGTTTTGATTCGGATTCTGAGTGTGTTTTGGTGCCATGGCTGATGGGTTTTGGGCAGAGAATGGTAGTCCAGTAGAAGGAAATCGGGCATTGTGCATGGCAGGTCCAAGAGAGGCCATTCCTGCATGGCCGTGAGCACCCATCATTGTGGCATTTCTCAGTGGGTTGAAGAGAGGCTGGGACATAGCCACCTTGGAGAGGACTTGGCTGAGTACGGTCGCAGCAGCTGTGTTACTGGTCACTGCACTCTGAGCCAATTTTAGCCTCTGTAGGGTGAGCTGAGCCTGCAGCTGAGCAAGTTGAAGGCTGGCAGGGGACGGCAGAAGAGGGTTAGTTCCACTGCCTAAAGGATTGTTGACAGAGAACGGATTCTTCTCCAGGAACTGGGATACACTGCAACAAAAAATAAAATAATATTTGTTAGCAAATAACATCGAACAACAAAAAAAAGGTGTACCATCAGTCACAGATTGGTGCTATACAAGGTTGTGATTTGGACTAAACATGATGCTCTGCAGTAAATCACGCTCTCGGCTTAGCATGTGGTGTATTCGAGATAATATTTCATGACAATCAAGACTCATCTACATATAATATCATTTATGAGAATTACATTAATATCATCTTAAACACGGTTTGACTTAGTATAAGTAGAAGATCATATGACTGCTTGTTAGAAATTGCCTCGTTGGGTCTTTTTTACTAAACAATTAAAAATCTCACCTGTAGCTGAGCCCTATTATTATCAACCTGAAAACACATTACAGTGTACATATAGCCAAAACCTTTTGGGGGGGGGGGGGGGGGGAAGTTGCAGAAAGGGCAAGACAA